AAAAAAATTCCCTCTGATAACAGCTTTGGTGCCCATCGTGACCATTCAGCTAGAGGCCATCTCAGCACAGGGCCTCCTTCAGGGACATGAGGGTCACAGGGGAAAGTCTGTTCCACGTGCGTCTGAGACGACAGGAACCTTGCAGCGTGCAGGGCGTGCTCCGGGGAACGCTGCCTCTCCTCAAAGTGTCTGGACAGTGAGAAGTGAACACACCGCTGCAAAAAAGGAAAGTCGAAACATCTCTTGTTGCTTTTAACGTTCTTTTTCTCCTTCCCTAGTGGCTGGAACAAAGATGTGCCTGGAATTTTTATTTATCTGTCAGGATGTTAACAAAAACAAAATCTTAGAAGATGAACCTAAGGTGAATAGAAGGTAGCAACATAGCGGAGTTCCAATCTCGATTTATTGTAAGAATTTTAGAGTCGACGCTCAGAGAATTAAGCATGGGAAACAGGGTGACAGGGGACAGATTGTGACAGATCAGTTCTGTTTTCCACCATGAACTGTTTAAGTCTGAGCATGAGCCGTGGCACCCAAGACACACAGGTGTCCCAGGAGATAATTTAGCACCTCCCCAAGGTCATAGTCTCAACATTTATTTAGGTGAGAACCTGAGAGTCAAATGGAGAGAAAGAGGGCTTTGGGTGGCAGGGCCCCATGTGGCCAACCCCATGTGGCCAACCCCATGTGGCCAACCCCACGTGGCCAACCCCACGTGGCAACACAGAAGTCCTGCAGCTAACTCAGCCTGCCCTTCCTGAGGGAGGTTAGGTGACCATCTGCTGCTACTAGATTCTCCATGGATGTCAACTCCGCCCACCACGGAGCCTGCATGGGAGTCTCTCTATTATTCCCAATGCAAATATCCTTGAGAAAAGTTATGGTAAATTTAATCTTTTTTTAAATCCTCACCTGAGGACATGTTTTTCACTGATGAGAGAGAGAAAGATTGATGTGAGAGAGACACATCGATTGGCTGCCTCCTGCACAACCCAGACCAGGACCAGAGTTCAAACCTGCAACCGAGGTATACGTGCCCTTGACTGGGACTCAAACCCAAAACTCTTCAGTCCAAGGGCGGACACTCTAACCACTGAGTAAACCAGGGTTAAACCATTGTTTAATGCACACAAGCAAGTTCTAGGAAGTGGGTATGACCAGTATCATCACAGAGATGAGGAAACTGAAGGTCAGCAAGGCTAACAAAGTACCCAGGGTCTTACAGCTGGCAGAGTGACCGTTTGACTCGGGTTTCATCTGCTCCCAATCTTTCAAGCACATTCTCTGCGGTTGCCAGATAAATTATCTGATCTCCAGTGAACATACTCACTTGGGAAAAAGTAGAGTGCTTTTGGAAAAGATCATTTGGAGAAACATATTTGATCTTCACAACAATCCTACATGGATTGAGTACAGCACAGAGATATCATCTTTAATCTCTAGTCATCTGACTACATAAACATTTTTTATTTATTTCCACAGATACTGAGAACTTCTGCTAAGGAGTCAGTGACAAAGCAACACTCTGGAAGGAGAAATCAAAAGCAAAACATGTCGAGTGTTTAACGTTAAGGCCTCATGTCATGAGCAGAGTTTCTCCACAAAGTATTAGAAGATGTGAGCAGGGGGATGACAATCCGCAGGTCTCCTGGGTGTCTTCTAGAAGCAAAGCCAAGGCTGCACCCTCCATGCCAATGAACCCCCCTCCAAGCCTTGATCGAGTTATACACCTGTCATTTAACAGGGTGGGAAAGATGACGGTTGTGCATCAGCAGCAGGGGCTGCAATACCTGTGTCCCCTCTCAAATGCAGAGACCTTCAGTGCACCTGTGCATCAAGTCATCTCGAAACGTCTGTTCTCCTGGCCCAGGAATTGTGCACTTCTCTCTAGCTGCTCACTGACATTCCTAAGCTATTCCTTCCAACCACATATTTTTAGGGTTATCCAAATGGTTTAATATTTCAAGGTGCATTTCACTGAATCCATATAAATTATACTCCACTTCAATTAGCCTGCATTACATAGTACGTGACACACACATTTATTAAGTGCAACCTAATCTAAAATAGACACTATGAAAGTTCATTGTTATATAATATAGTTTTAATGAGTATCTGAGGTCTCAAAGGAGTCAAGTTAAAAACTATGTCATTTATACATCCCACTATATCTTTTGAAGTTAAACTTTAAATGTGATTAAGTAGTTATTTTCTCCAGGATAAAATATAAGCAATTCTCTGTTATTTGAATAGTAGAGAAAAATTAGTATAAAAGTATACACAATAGTGTAATATAAGAAAAATATATTCGACTTTAGAATTATTGTCCATAATACATTTTACTTTTCCCAAACTTATTTTGCTTATTAAATTTAGCTTGAAGGTCCTGTACATGTCATAAATGATAGTAGGAGGCAATAGCCTGAAAGTGTAATTATAAAATTAAATACGATGATAAACGTAATAACAAAAAATAGCATAAGTCCCCAAAGGATACCTGAAAACTAACTGTAAATTATTAGCCATTATAACAGAAAATGGAAAAGTCTTACATAAGAGCTTTTCTCAGGATCAACCAGGTCAGAGGAAAAACAAATTTTACCTAAGGGTGCCCTGAAGACTTGTGAGCAGCTTAACTAGAATTTTGCAACGACTTTAATTGAGAGTAGAGAGTGAATTACAATGAGAATGATCAAAATGGAGTAGGAAGGTCCTGGAAGCTCAATGCACTCTCTCCCAATGTCTTGTTTATGCACACACAGGAGTCCATGGGAAAGGAAAGCAAAGAGATGTGAGGGAAATTGTTTGAAATTAAGGAGAAATGGAGTTAGAACCCAGCTCCGGCAGTCTTGAGTATTCTACCTAATTTTCTTTTAATCCATATAGTATTCTACGGTTTTTCCCAATCCTTCAATACTTAACAAATGTTATAAATATTTTAGGGGTTCTCAATTTTATCAGTACTTCCTGTTCTTTTTAATCCACTATTTGATAACTACTGCAGATATCTGCTGAGCTATTTCTAAAAGCCAGGCACTAGTTCAAACTCTGTCATTTAAACGTCGCATGAACTTTGTAAAGTAAATGCAACGACTTATCTCCATTTTACAGATGAAAAGGCTGAGGCGTGTGGCTCCACAGCCTGCTTCTCAGCCACTGCAGTATGGTCAGTGGTGGTCCCCAAAAAGATATGTCCCTGTCCCAGCCTCTGGAACCTTGAATGTGACTTTATTTGGGAAAAGAAGGTCATTGCAGAAATAATTAAGATAAGGACCTGGAGAGGATGAGGTCATCTTAGGTTGTCAGGATGGGCCCTACATCGACGACAAGTGCCCTCCTAGGAGACAGAAGAGAAGACGTAGACGTAGACGAGGCCATGTGAGGTGGAGACAGAGGCTGGAGAGATGTGGCCGCCAGCCAAGGAAGGCCTGAAACCACCAGAAGCTGGCAAAGGAAGTAAATGCGTCCCCCACCCCCACCCCCACCCACCCCCACCCCCGACTCCCCAGAGGAGACATGGCTCTGCCAGATTTGGAACTTCCAGCCCCTAGAAATGTGAGACAATAAGGTTCTGTTGTGGAAGCCACCCAGCTTGCAGTCATTTGTTCCGGCAGCCCCAGGAGACTGACATAACCACCCTGTCATACTGCCACCGTTCTAGGAACATAGGGGCCCCCTTACTACCACCCATGATTGCACTCCTGGGAAAGACCTAACAAACTATCTCTCTCTTTCTACCATGAAGGCACCCTCTGCAGATGGTTCTTTCCAGTAAAACTTTCCTAAATGCTGCGTCTGCTAATAGTTCTTTACGTACTGCTACAGTTCAGAATCGACTGTCTCTCTTCCACCTACTCTATGGCAATGCAGACTTTTTCCAGTTCAAATAATAAATGCCTTTGCCTATTGCAAGCATATTTCATATACTAATTAAATGAGTACAAATAACATGCAATCTATGTGCACTTGAAAATGCAATTCATTCTAACATTACTAGTCTGAAAACTTTCTAACATTTAAATTCAGATGATAATTGTGATTATTATTTTAACACATGCTTTTAAAATGGATACTTAGTATTTCAAATATTCCGTGACATACTCTTCACTGACTTACTCTTACTGAAAATGATTTCTAATCCTATTCGATAATGTGCAGGGCAGTCTCTGTCCCTGCCCATTGACCCTCCACCCTCCTTACCCTGCTCTGAGCTTCAGTGTTGACCATGAATCACCTAGCATCTCACCCATACCTGATTTAGACATGAGATATGGGACTTCTGAGCTGATGATATTTAGGTGAGATTTTTGGGTCATATCTATTGAACTCCCATCAACTGTATGCCCTTCCTTGCCCAATGGGCGTTGGTGAGGAGTTCAGTTGGTGGGAGGCCCTGGAAGATGGAAAGGCAGGAGAGTGAGGTCAGGGTATGTATTTCTTCTCTCTCCCTGCAGCACTGAAGGGCGGGCAGTGGCCATGGTCCTCTGGCTGGGGTCACAGCAGTTGACCTATCAGGAGACCTCCCCACCCATTGCTAGAAGTCTTCAGGTGCTGCCCACCCTCTTCCCCCTTCAAGTCTTGGGTGGTGGAACTGCATCCTCTTATTGTGGGACCCTGGTGCCTCCCATCACTTATTTGTTCTCTTAAGCCTAACAACACCTCCATAAATAGTCCCCTCAATAAACTTTCTATCACCCCTCTGAGCGTGCTGTCTTCCGCCAGATGCTCACTGAAATAGCTATTGAGTATCACAGCTGATAGCATCAATCTAACATACTGAATAACTTTTTCTCATACATAAACTTATTTCAGGGTTTCAAAACATTTCTAGTTTAAAAGAATTACAACTGGCTATGACTGGTCTGGCTTGTTTGTTTTTGTTTTTGTTTTTTCTCCTTTAACAACAACAACAAATGTGGTAGCTTGGGATAATCTTGCTCCTCTCAGACACTTCCGCTACAACTCACTCTTATCACTGAATGATTTTGGTTCCAAAATACCTGTCATCACCATCAGTGATGCACTCAGGGAAGGCAAGGCTACAGCCAAAAAGCATGATATGTTGATAGCAACTGAGGCGATGGAGGTACATGAAGAATTTGAGGAACTTCTCCATTTCCATGTTTTTGACGATTGAGGAGAGAGGTGTCAGCGTGGTGCGGTAGGGCAGCATCCGACACTGGCTGTGGGCGATGTCTATGCAGGCACCTGGGAAGTCAAGACAGTCATATTCAGGAGCAGACACATCAGAATTACATGTCTATAAACTGGCTTGATATGAAAGGCTAACATGTTCCTAAGATAAAATATATTCTGCAAGTAAGAATGACTATGACATACAATCAGATACGTATACACATACACAAGACCATGTGTGGGAGGCACAGGCATGCACGTGTGCGATAATGAAATCAAGCTACTGTATTCACAGAGGAAGAGTATCTGTGTCCAGGGCAAATGTCTGGAAAAGATACATGCACACCCAGCTGGTGGTGAGCATATAAGTTGCCAATCACTGTTTTGGATCACAGCGGAGCAGGGTGATAGGTACAAAAAAAATCTTTTAAATGTGCATATCATTTGATACTGTAATATCATTTCTAAAAAATTTATACTAAGGAAATAATTGTGATTGTGAACATAGATTTATCTACAGGAATCTTCATCATTACAGTTTCCAATTTTTCAAAGCTATAATCACCTACAGCATTCAACAAAGGGGATTGGTTTAAAATATTATGGAACAGCCCGACCAGTGTGGCAGTGGAATGAGTGTGGTCCCATGGACTGAGAGGTCCCAGTTTGATTTCTGGTCAGGGCACATTCCTGGGTTGCAGGTTCGATCCCCAGTGGGGCGAGTGCAGGAGGCAGCTGATCAATGTTTCTCACATTGATGTTTCTATCTCTCTCTCTTCCTCTCTAAAAAATTGATTTAAAAGAACATATAAAATATATGGAACAAACAGATTTCTTAGATATGTGAAAGATGACTTAAAGTACTATTTAATCATATAGAATGGTGTTTATAATATGATACATAGAAATAGCAAGTCACAAAACAATTTTTATAACATGATCTTGTTTTTAAAAACACATGATTGTACAAGGCTTTCTGATCCTAATTATATCAGCAGTGCAGGGTCAGCCCAGAGCCCCTGGCTTCATTTTCTCAGAGCTGGCTTTTCTCCCGGGCACTACCACCTCCACACCCTCTCCTCCTTCAATCCATACATTTGCGTGGTTGGTCTGATATAAATCAAAATATTAGTATGGACCCAAATGATGGCATTTTAGGACACAGTTATACATATTTTTCTTTTGTCGATTCTGTATTCTCTTGATTTATATAAGGATTTATTACTTTTATTTAAAAAAAGAATGGGCCCTGGCCGGTTTGGCTCAGCGGTTAAGTATCAGCCTGTGGTCCCATGAGACCCAGGTTCGGTTCCCAGTTCCCGCTAAGGGCACGTACCTCGGTTGCAGTTTGTTCCCGGCCCTGGTTGGGTTGTGTGGGTGGCAGCCACTCGATGTGTCTCTTTATGTCGATGTTTCTCTCTCTCTCTTCCTCTCTCTCCCTCCCACTCTATCTGAACAACAACAACAACAACAACAACAAAAATGGAAAAATGTCTTTGGGTGAGGATAAAAAAAATAAAAAAAAAATAGAAATTTCAGTTATTGTTTAAGTGAGCTACTATTTAAAAGAATCTTCAGGCTTTGAAAATGAAGGGGAAATATTAGTTTTAATTATGCTGGGGGTGGAGCAAGAAGAGAAAGAAGTTCAGCAAGAAAGAAAACATTTCTTCCCATCACCATATAATTCCTAGTCAGAGAAATGAAGAGTAAAATCTTTCTAAACCTAAGGCTATTTTACTTTAATAAAGATAATGTTAAAAAAAAAAAAAAAAAAGGCTGCATCTCTGATAAAATGGCCAGACTAACCCTTTGATCTGAATAAAGAATAAATACAGCTTATCACAGGATTCCCAACCTCTCTTTCTGCTTCATTCATTCAGATAGATCACCTCAAAGACCCTCTCATCTTCTTCTCTAGTCTACTTCTAAGTACACTGCCTAGTCTGACATTTCTTACAAACCTCTCTGAAAACCATCCAAGCCCTACAGGAAGTCCTTCCCCCAAATGACAAGATCGTAGCCATTAGCACAAAGAGTCTTACACTTCATGAAAAGAAACAGTTCCTCATTGTTATCTATTATCTACTGATCACCTAAAATACACTGAGCTCAGTGGGGCATGATCAAAATATGATTTCCACTCTGAAAAGCAACCAATGACATGCAGAGCTTCTCTGTCTGCTAGACCCTAGAATAGACGTGCCAAAAAAAATAAGGACACAACGCTTTTTTGGACCTTACCAAACTCAAAATACAAAATAAGAAAGACAGGAAAGAGACTAAGAAAAATCCAAATTAAAATAAGCAGACAGAGCATAAACAGATACACATAAACATAAGTTCAGCTTTTCACAAGTGATGGATGGATGGATGGATGGATGGATGGATGGATGGATGGATGGATTAAGAGACAGGTGGGCAGACAAAAAGTGATTAGCAGTAGGACACAGGTCCTCCATCTCCTATGACAAACACTATACCGCAGCTGTGGATAGCATGGCCAATGTTGAAGGAATTCAAAAGAACAAGAATTTAATGTGGGGTGAATGACACAAACGATGAGACTTTGTAGTTCATTTTTCTCTACTAGTATTAACTACCCTTTAACTACAAAGTCTTACCGCTTGTGTCAAATATTTTTTTTCCTAGAATGTCCCATTGTCTTTGAAACATGTAATTCTAGTATTATATTTATGTACACTCCCACCAGGGGCAATCAGTTTTCATATGCCAGCTACATGCTGTGTACCATTCAGAGTCATTTCTCTGTGGGGAAGGGCAAGGGTACTTTTGGAAATAGACTCATTTATTGTTGTTACTCCATCTAATTTGGTTTTCTTGGGTAGAGAAAAGAGGGAAAAGTCAATTTTTCTACTCTGAGAATTTACCAGTGAATCCAATAGAAATTAAAAGTCAGGAATGCTATGTAAGAATGTGTAAAAAGATACAATGAACATAATTCATCATAGTGCTATATAGACATCATTACTCAATTTGGCCTTGTCTCTTAAATTACAGTTACTTCAAGTTGTAAAATGAAAAGAAAAATTTAGAAATAGATCTGAAGAACAAAATAGCTTCTCAATGCAAAGTATTCTTGGCCCCCTACCAGGTAGTTCAATTGGTTGGAGCATTGTCCCATACACCAAAAAAAGGTGGCATATACCTGGGTTGCAGGTTCGATCCCTGGTTGGGGTGCATGCAAGAGGCAACCAATCACTATTTCTCTCTCTCTCTCCCCCTTTTTCTCTCTCTCTTCTTCTCTCTCTAAAATCTATAAACATGTTCTCAGGTGAGGATTGGAAAAAATAATAAAATAAAACACCAATGCTAGTAAGACATGATTCAATTACAAATAAATAACTAATTTTCAGAGTATGCATTGATTACAAGACACGTCCCAGTATGAGAAAAAATTAAAATATGAAGAAAAGTGCTGTTTGGAGTTGAGGAGGTGAGATCGATTTTTTTGTTTTGTTTCCTTAATCTGACTCAATAGTTTCTAGACCAATTTGGAGCTTTCTCTACTCATATCACACTGCTAATATTTCTAAATACTAGAATTAGGAGGAAAGGTGGGTTTGTGGTAGAGTTGTCCTTATGTTCATTTGGAAATTACAATAAATTCTGTTTTTCTACTTCTAAGATTAGGTAATGCGGACTTAGAAATTTTAATTTATATCTATTTTTTGAATGCAAAATTATCTTAAGAGTAAGTGGTTAACTTTTCTAAGTAATATACACTCAATCCAAGGTCCTGAGCAGCTGATAAAATGGTGATTTTATTTAGCAAACCACTTTGGTGAGTGAGTTTTGGTAGTGAGTTTTACAGCACACTCATCCCTTCGGGTCCCTTAACTACAAACCGTCCCATTTCCAATCCGTGCCATCTACTAAGTATTTGTATTTGATTTTGACTTACACAGAATTCATTTCAATAGTGGGTTCTTTGTAAAAATCCTTGAAATCAAATACAAACTTCTTTTTAAATAAAAGCAAGATTATCTAAATCACAATTATATCACATAATAGTGTTCTTTGACAGGAAAGAGCTCAAATTAAAAATAATAAAATATCAACTTTCTAAAGTACTTTGCAACTGTTTTGTTCTGATAACTAACAAGAAACCTTGGTCACCTTGCCGACTTCCTATTGGCAATTTCACACTAATTGAAGGGCTCCTGGTGAGGATTCCACCGCACTGGGAAGCAGTGTTTTATCAGAGCACGGTTGATCGGCCCTAATTTACCTAAATTGACTCATTTAACTGAATTGCTTCACAGGACTCCTTTGTGAAGGCTGCTCCATTTGTTTTTCTTACTCCCAGATCCTGAGAACTCCATGGGGTTGGAGAGGACGATGCCTGTACAGCCCTTTGCCGTGGTTTGGGGAGAAACTCACGGCAGGGCTGGCCTTCACTGGTTTTTCGTTTTCATTCCTCTCATCCAGTCTGTCATCAGATTTGTTGCTGCTTCCCAGGCGATCTCTTTCATTCCCTCTTCTTTCTTTTAAAGCCTCACTTTTTTCTGGTTACAGGTACTATCTGGAGCCTTCTCCTATGCATCCTTTTTTTTTTTTTTTTTTTTTTTTTATCCTCACCCGAGGACATTTTTCCATTTTTTGTTCAGATAGAGCGGGAGGGAGAGAGAGGAAGAGAGAGAGAGAGAAACATCGATGTGAAGGGACACATCGAGTGGCTGCCACCCACACGACCAACCAGGGCCGGGGACAAACTGCAACCGAAGTACGTGCCCTTAGCGGGAACCGAACCCGGGTCTCTCTGTACCGCAGGCCGATGCTCCAACCGCTGAGCCAAACCGGCTAGGGCTGCATCACTTTTATCTGCAAGTTTTTGTCCTTCATTTTCTCCGGACACTGATGCTCCAGTCCTGTTCTCAGCCCTTCCGCACGCAGGAGCGCATTCGCCCTCCCTGCAAGGCACTGACTGTTTCACAGCCAGGAAACCAGGTTAAGTAGTTTTCTGTAGGAGTCACACAGCTAGTCAGCGCTGAAGCCGGAATTCAAGTCATCCCCTCCAAAACCCAAGTCTCTTTCCTCCAAAAGCCTCCCCA